GGGATGGAAGCTGGAGGCATGAAGGTAGGCATAGCGGTCGGTGGGTTTTCGGTGTAGGGTGGTGTTAACATGGCCATCGCTTATTTGTACTGTGGTGTCTAGGAAGTGGACCTCCCGTGTAGATTGGTCCAGGCTGAGGTTGATGGAGGGGTGGAAGCTGTTGAAATCATGGTGGAGTTCTTCCAGGGTCTCCTTCCCATGGGTCCAGATGATGAAGATGTCATCAGTGTAGCGTAGGTAGAGAAGGGGCGTGAGTGGACGAGAGCTGAGGAAGCGTTGTTCCAGGTCAGCCATAAAAATGTTGGCATATTGTGGGGCCATGCGGGTGCCCATAGCGGTGCCACTGGTCTGCAGGTATATATTGTGTACCGATGGGGGATTCTTTGATTGGTACAGTATTGTGTACAGCTTTTATGAACGTTAAGCGCTTTTCCCAGCATGTGTGTGTGTACACACTTCTGCACCTCTCCTTTACAATGGTTCTCCATCCCAAGGGTAACCCCCTCTCCCAGGTTGCTCTGAGGAGTTTGCTGCACTCTATCCGATATAGATTAACGCCAGGTCAGGATTATAATAGGTAGATAAGCTTCCATTTTTTCAAATCAATCCCCTCCATGCCCAGCATGTGGAGAACTTGTCAAGAAGCAGCTCATTTGGACTAGCCACAAGAGGGTGGGTGTTTTGTTTTTTAATTCAACAACAAGGGTTTTACATAAAATAAAATAAAAAATACCCAGCGAATGGCTTGTAAGGGACTGAATCTCTCTCTCTCTGTGTTTGTGTGTGTGTCTGTGTCTGTGTGTTCCTAACAGTCTGGCCTCCGACTGACGTCACGCACAAACTCATTTGCACAGAAATAGATTTTAATTCAGCCCCCCCCCCTCCACCTCGGATGGTTGTAATAATATTCTGGCTCCTCGCCAAGTATAGGAGTTACCATAGAAACAATAAAACTCCAGCGATTCAGGGCCCCAGCTAGAACGTCTCCTATAGTAAATATTAAAGTAACGGGGAAGGGGGAAGGGGAAGAGGAAGGGGCTGCGGGGGGGGGCAGCAATTACATTGACATCTGCGACTTTCTGCATCTCTCTGCACTTGATTGCATCGACGGGTGATGTATTTCCCAGAGGGACTAGATTGTAACCCCACTTTACTTAGCGCTGCAAACGTCCTGCTCAGAGTCTCAAACTCGGGATGAAATGTTGGCAAAACCCTTTGTTTTTCCTTTCCATGTTGCCTTCTTTCGTGTGGGGGGTGGGGAGGGAACTGAACCTTGCAGACAAATTATGTTTTTCCGCCACTACAAATTCTGCCCGGTGCTCATCTTTGTGCCTAGCCCTGGAGTTTTTACTTCAATCAGCTTCTGCTTTCCAAGCAAATATGCCACCCTCTCTCTCCTGGGGCGGGCATAGGTAGACACACGACCTGCCCCCTGCCACCCCCCGCCGCAAAGCAAATCTATCCATTCTAGCAAAGGCGAGCTATTGGGTTTGTCTCCCTCTATTTGGGTGCCTGGCTGTGAAAAAGCCAAAGCGCGTCCCAGATTTGAAAACAACACCCCCACCCCAAAATACACGCGCGTGCCCGCGAATCCAGGTCCAATTGTTAAATTCATCTCCTGTCTTAATGAGGTGTGTGGCTTCTGTCACGGGCAAGGAGCCAGCAGCCGGCTCTTGGAGTCTCTATAGAAACCACGGGGCACGAGCGGAAAATGCCTTTGACCATAAAACAAAATGCGCTGGTATTAAAACATATAAATACCCGAAGGGAGGCAGACAAAAGGCTGAGTTCCCATTCACACCAGTTGAGGCTTGGGGAGAGGGGCGATGGGAGCGGTTTAGGAGACATCTCAGCAGGGACGGTCTCAATCCAGATTTCTTTTACTGAGGCGGGGGGGAGACATACCAGAAGTCCAGGAGACCCCCTGCCTACACGCACGCCCCCTTGCCTTGCTTTCGACAGCTATTTAGGGGAGGCGGTTCATCGCTGTGGGTTTAGGGCCCGATCCCACTGCCTACAAATCCACACCCACGCCGGCAGAACAACCAGGCGATGAACGGCCCTCGCCCATCGGCCTGGAGGCGAGTGGATCCAGATTTTTTATTAATTTTTTTAGCTGGCACCAATCGCTCCCTTCTCCTTCCTAGATTTCCCCGGAGGCAGAGCCTGTCCCTTTAAATGCGGTCCCTCAGCCTATTCCCCACCGAGCCATATGTATCCATCTATTTAAATACCCCCCCTCCGGGGGTCGGGGGCACTGCCCCCTCGCGGGTGTCGGTGGCTCTGATTGGGGGGGCGAGGGGGGCTGGTTTGCATGCATGCAGGAAGGCATTGGGAAGGGGCGGCGCTGCGCTTAGGCAGGCGGAGAAGGAGCCGCGGGGGAGACAAAGGTGCCGCTTCGCACCTTTGCCAGGCTGGCCAGCCTCTCCGAGCCCCCGTTTTCCCCTCTCCCCGCCTGGAGCCTGGGCTGTCAGGCGGGTGAAAGGCAAGCGGAGGACCCGGAGCCTGGTAGTCCCCGTCCCCCCCCCGGTTCCGGCTGGGAGATCGGAGCGGTGAAGGACAAGAAGGAAACTGTGGGTCGGGGGGCGCTGAGGGTTTCTTGTCTGGGCACCTTTCGATCCGTGCCGGGGAATCATTGTCTGCGGTATGTGCCCACGCTGCGCCACGGGGCACAGGGAATGGAGGGGGTGGGGGTATTTGTGTGCCTGAATTTGGCTGCAATGGAACGACCCCACAATGTGTGTCTAGGCCTGGGGAGGCCAGTAGATGTGATCTAGAGACGCGGCAGAGATCATCGGAGACTGTTTCGGGTGGGTGTGGCATGACCTGACAATGCCGTGCGTGGGTGTGGACGGGTGCTCTCTATTCTTCCGTGTGCTAATATGGGGGACAGATTACGGCCGGCTTTTATGCGTTATTAAATGGGCCTCCTAGGCCACTGCGTTGTGTTTGTAGATGGAGGTGTATTTGCAGGCTACATGCTGCCATATGTGTGTGTGTGTGTATTGCAGTTATACATCCGTTTACATCTTCAAAGTACTGTACCAATATGATAATGTAAGCGCCCATGAAATAAAATATAGACACACACTGATTACAAAATAAGGCATAAAGAACATAATTGTCGTGTATCCATCCTCGGTATGGGTGGACAGCCGCACACTATGAATGTGGATGTCATGGAGGTTACACTATGCCTGTGTGTATAATATTACAGTGCTTTGAAGATGGAAACTTCTGTATGTGTGTAGATGATTCAGATGCACCCAGACACGCCCATTGGATGTGCACTGGGTGGTGTCTATTCTCTGCATATTGTTTATGTGCCTTTGTAGTGTTAATTGAGAAATGCATGTGTGATGTGTGTCATAGGGTCTGACACGCCTGTCCTTCCGGTCTGTAAGCGCAGGTACCCATAGGTCGCGTAAAGCAGTCCTCAGCCGAGCTTCTCACGTCTGGCTTTCGCTGGGCTTGTGCGTTTAATGAATTGCATGTTAATGTTCAATTAGACCATTTATCTGATTTGTTCCGGACCATTGCCTTGCTGGAGGGAGGGAGGGGGGGCTGGGAGTGGGTGTGGGGCGTGGTGGAGGGGGATGGGGATTGGGGGCAAGACCACGAAAGTGGAATCTCCCCTCGGCTTTGTTATCTGGTGTCAGCAGCAAGCTAGGGAAGAATTAAAGAGGACATGTGGATAGCCAGAAGCCAAGGTGAAGCTGTTGCAGCTCCTAGCTGGCTAGGATTGAAATGTGATCCTTCTCACAGGCTGCAGACTTTGCTCGTCTTTTCTTCTTCTCCTCCCGGTCCTTGAGGTTTGTCCAAGTAGCACACACAAAAGGAGGGTTTGCTTTGGCCATAATTTGATTACAGATGATCCTGCAATGGGCTACAGCTGAGGGAGAAAGAGGCAGGGAGGGAGGTAGTGTGTGTCCAGACTTGGGTGGCAGAGCTCCACTTGGAGGAAGAGACTATTGGGGATGGAGGAGTTTATTGTTAGCTAATGATGAGCAACGAGGCTCTCGATTTTTATTTTTGTTTAAATATATAATTTAGAGGGGTTTGGGGCATTCCCTGTTAAGGGTCTCCATTTAATAAAAAAGTGTTCCTATAATAATCTCCATCCTGGCATCTACAAAACGTGCATAATCCAGAGTGGAAAAACTGGGCTGTGTGTGTTAGTGTGTTTCAAAGCTGGGCAGATATAATAGGGCTAAACCTAAGGAAGCAGCTATGAAACCTGCATGCTGTGTGGGTTTCTTACCTCCTTTACTACCCAAATTATTCAGCTGTACTAGGCACATCACTTCTTTAGACTCAGCTGTGCTGCCTGTTGTTTTCTCTGAACTGATTTGTCTCCATTAAAAAAAATAAAACCACATTACTAAATAAATTCTTTATCTTGTATGTGTTTTGGTCAGGATTTGGGAGTAAAAAGAGAGATTCGTTATATAATGTAAGCTGTAGGATCACTATGGGCCAGATTGTAATACTCTAGGTGAGTTATATCTTCCCCCAGGAGTATTATTATTGTCTTACATTTATACTGTGGTAGCACCCAAACATCACAACCAGTTCTGGGCCCCTATGTGCTAGGCACTGTGCAAACCCATAACCAGTTAGGCTCATCAACAAGATTACATTTGGAAAGGGTGCTACCCATCCCAGTCGGACTCTATGGGGGCTGAAAAAGAGGTGTTTTGTTTTGTTAAAATACAAATACTCAGTCCTCCATCCCGCTCTCTGGATTATTGCAATTTCAGACGCTTTGCAAGGCCTGACCACAAAACCCAGATTACAAGGTGGGGGGGGGGAGAGGGGGTATAAATCCTAAAACCAGAGACTCCTGTGGTTTGTAACCTACTGAGCCATTTGCTTCTGGAATGTTGCCTTCACTAGCTCCAGCGGATGACTTGGTTCTGGTTGCTGTAATATTCCAGGAGGGGTGATGACCCTGTAGATGCCGCTAACTTGATCCTCGGGGTGTGTGTGTTTGTTTCCAGAGAGGATCTGCTGAGGCCCGGATCCAAAATGCACAGAACCACCAGGATAAAGATCACTGAGCTGAATCCCCACTTGATGTGTGCTTTGTGTGGCGGCTACTTCATAGATGCAACCACCATAGTGGAATGTTTACACTCCTGTAAGTTTCCTCTGTACCTGGGGGGAGAAAGCAGGAGAAATCCGCTGTTCCCAATGAAATGCTCTTTTCTTTCATTCCACCAGGCAGATCTCCTATTTGGGTGTTAAGATCAGAAGCCAGCTGGTGGTGATGAGAGATTCCCCAGCTACTCACCTGAATATAACTCCATGGGCTTTTTCCAAAGTGGCTGGTGATTTTTGGGTGCCTAACTTGAGATACCTTAAAGAGGCCTGATGCTAGTTTTTCAGGAAGAGCAGAGCTCTCCCTTTCTGGAAACCAGGGCCTCCTTGTCATGTGAGACACCCCCAAATTGGAAGCACCCCAAACCCCTAGTCACTCTTGGCCTCCGATTACGCGCTCAATAATTTTGAGGTGAATTGGGGAGGGAGTGGTGAAGCTAGAATCCTACCATATTTCCTATACAGGGCTTAAGGCAATCTCTCACGATTAGAGATCAGAATGAGAGCTGTGTGTGTGTGAGGCGGATAATCCCATAACTGCCTGCTTTTGGGTTCTTCTACCTTCCTCTAAAGCATCTAGTTCCAGCCCCTGTTCAAAGACAAGGTCCTAGACTAGCTGGACCCAGGGTCTGCTCCAATCTAGCAATTCCTCTAATATACCTGCAGAGAGAAGCAAGGTGTAAGGGAAACCATGCCTTGATAAGAGGGGAATGTGGAATAGCCCCTACTGGTGGGATCCCCCTCTCATTGATACCTGGCTGCTAACAGGTGGATTAAATGGAAGCAGTCACTGATTACTTTCCAATCAGTGAGGGTAAAAAATTATCTTGCCCAGAATGTCTAAGCAGCTGCCTGTTCACTGTGGGTCAAAGCCAGCCCTGTACAGAGGGCCAGGGCAAGTGATGCACCACTTATATCCTGCTTTGGCACCATTTATGTCCCTCTTAAGCAGGATATAAATGGAGCTGAAGTGAGACTTAATACCTTGTGCTTAAGTGGCGCCTAGGCCTTGTGCTGACCCTTTGCCCAGGGGTGATAGTCACCCCGTGAGTCTGTATGTTGATTTCACCCTATTTATTTTTGTCTTTCTTCCTTTTTTTTAGTCTGTAAAACCTGCATCGTCCGCTACCTGGAGACCAACAAATACTGTCCCATGTGTGATGTCCAGGTGCATAAAACCAGGCCCCTGCTCAGCATCAGGTGAGGGATCTCACTGTTCTGGTTCTTGCCCTACAGCCCCGATAACACAGAAGTTGGGAAGTATCAGGCTCTGGATTTCGGCTATAGCATGTCACCGAGCCCCACTGTCACAGGAAATTCTCCTCCCTGCTTTGCTGCAGTTGGGAGATGGATATTTTGGCCTAACTTTTCCAGAGCCACTAATAGTGATTTTGGGTGCATCTATTACTTTTTTTTGAGAGGGGCGGCAACTTGGGATGCCTGAAGGGGCCCTGATTTCCAGAAGGTGGATGCACAGAATTAACAAATAATGAGGTCCCTTTTTAAAGTCCCCCAAACTGGGCACCAAACTACTATTTGCTTTGGAAAACTGAGGTTTCTGTATGTAATTCTGACCCTTATTCAGCAAGGTATGTTCCTAACCATCAGCATGTGAGTAATCCATTGTCTCCAATGGGACTAATTTACTTAAAGTTAGGCATGGGTGTGGGACTCAGGAGATCTGGATCAAATTCTCAGCTCTGCCACAGACTTCCTGTGTCTGGGCACTTAGGCCCAGAGCCTCAAAGGCCTCCACCCAATGGAGTTAGGCACCTATCTACCTTTGAGGATCCAGGCCTTAGTCTGTATGTGACTCAGTTTCCCATCTCTCCAGTGGAGACAACAGCACTTCCCCACCTCACAGGGATGTTTTGAGGATAAATCCATTAAAGATGGTGAGGGGCTCACATACTACTGACATGGGCACCAGACAACTACCTTAGTGTGCTGACTCCGGGCATACGCAGCAGAGAATCATAGACGTTTGTGTTGGGAAAGACCTCTTGTGGTTCTCTTCCTTCAGCCACTGCAGTGGATGGGCTAGAAGATCAAGAGCGTTATTTTCTCCTAAAAAGAATAAGTATCTTCTGTTGAAGCCAAGTGAAGTCTGCTGCCCTGGAAGAACAGGATTTGCACTCTGCAGTTTCACGCCTTATCGCATAGGTGCTGGAACTGAGGGTGCTGCCGCACCCCCTGGCTTGAAGTGGATTCCATTATATCCAGGATTTACAGTTTGGTTCAATGGGTCTCAGCACCCCCACTGTACAAATTGTTCCAGCACCCCTGCCTTAGTTTACTAGAATAGCCTACTAGACTATATCTGACACCTTATAGTCTACTGTATGTAGGTTATTTGAATGTTGACCCAAAGTCTCTCCTATCTCCTTGAATGCTTGCAGGGGAGGAGAGGAAGGAATGATCAGAACCAGAGCATCCTAACTTTCATTTTTCTCATAACAGCTGCACAGGCTAGGGAATTCTGTACCTGGTCATTATTTTGTGTTTGATGTCATCACGGGCATTCCTGGGTGTTTGACATCATAAGCAAAGCCCCAGCAGGGCTGTGATGTCAAGATAGTCCCACCTCAACAGCTTCCAGCGTCCAGATGCAGCGCCTAGTATAATGGGGCCCCACTCTCTGTGTTGTATAATGTCAATGAGATCCGAGCCGGAAGGGCAGACGACAAGTGTCATGATGGAACAGACAGGACCAGGAGCGTCTCTGAATTTTCCAGCCCCCTTTAAGGATGTTGTAAAGAGATTGGGATGATTAATTAGCAGGGAAAGGCACAATGTGAGTTACATCCTCTGTCAGTTTGGACTGAGTACCTGAGGTCATCTTTAGACAGTGCCCGGACCGCAGCCGTCAGGCTTTGAAGCCACGACAAGAGAAATTTAACCTGAACCCGCTTGTGGTTTATAATTCATTGATCCATTTGCCTTGGAACGATGCGTTCTTCTCCCAGCGGAGGGTTATTCTGTGTGAGCGTGCGGCTGGCTGAGTCTCAGCCGCTACTATTGTGGGTGGGTGGGTGGTTTCCAGACCCCTGTTCCATGCCCAGAACCACTAGGATCAAACTAATGCAGTCAAACCCCCACACTTGGTGCATGCTTTATGCCGGCTTTGCTCCTTCCCTATTTGTCTGGGTTTGGGGAAGCCAGACATGTCTTGTCAGTTGTAGAATTAGCTCTGCAGGTGGTTGGCATAGAAACCATTAAGGCTGCAATACATCACTAGGGGCTTTTTTTAGCTCTTCCATGTAAATCCATTTCTGTAGTAACACTTCTCTTTTTTTGTTGTTGGTTCCCTGTGAAATATTTACACTCTAACTCCCACAGACCTTTCCGTGAAATATCTCTGAATGTGTGCACAGACCCAGACGGAGACGCACTCTGCCAACATACAGACAGACACAAAGCAGCAGGCTAGAATTGCACCGATCTTCCAAGCTCTGAGATATCGCCCAGACCTTACTTTATAATTTGCATTGCAGTAGCTACTAGTCACAGACAACCCCTCCCTCCCCTGCCGTTATGCTAGCCACTCTACCACCATATCTTTGCATCCTTGTCCGATCAGACCTCAATTTTCATTGGCACTAGGGCCCCTTTACACCACTTTAGCAGCGGCAAGGGGCCTGGATTGTGAATGAGAATCAAATCCACAGTCTTCTCTCTATTTTTATCAGAGTCGGGTAGTTGAGGCATAGACTTGGGAATCAGAAGGGTGTGGGAAATCTGTGTCAGCGTCTGGAAGAAAACTTGTTCAAGTCATGTGGGTAACCTAACTCCTATTGAAATCTATGCAAATTAGACACCTAAATACCTTTGAGGATCTGGGCCTTAGACCAAACATTTTTAGGGTGGATCCCTAAACTACTTCTTAAACAAGGTGGCTGAACTTTTCCCAGAGGTGCCCACATCTCTCACTGCATGTCAGTCGAAGTCTATGTTTAGGCTCACAAACTTCAAAAATTTAGCCATAATCTCTTTCTCCCTTGGCTTCCCCATCTGTAAAGTGGGAATACTGATCTCAGCTTGCCTCACATGAAGGTCTTGGGAGATTTGATTCACAAAGGTTAGCAAAGCATGTTGAGAGCTTCAGATGGAAGGGGCTAAAGATGAAAAGCCCTATATCTGAGCGAGGTATCTTTTATTATATTATAGAAATAATTTTGATATATGATCAGTGACCCTGATGTTCCCATTTGTTCTTGGAACTAGAGACATAGCCCTTCTTTTTGGGCCAGATCCAAAGTCCTCATGTCTTCCCTGTTTGACTTCATTGGGTTTTGGATCAGACTCTGAATTTGCATGGTTAGTCATTTTCCTTTCTCTTTTGCTTCCCCCTCCATCTGAGTTGCATAATACCCAGCTGTGTTGTCAGAAATGTCAGTCATGGACATATTAAGGACTATGGGGTCAATCCTGCCAGGTGCTTGGCACCATTCAGCACCAAGTTTCGGGATACCAATAATATGCAATGGGGTTATGACTTCCCAAAGGCTACTTGCAACCTGTGTCCACATACATCAAAGTCAATAGGAGTTTTACCAGCAATATTCAAATTGGCGCAGAGCCGGTACAACGTGGTCTTGAATTCATCCGACTGTGTTCCTTTGCAAAGGACCCATGCAATGTCTGTGCGCTATTTAAGTCCCACGTAAGCCCTGTTTTGAGGGCTTAAATGGTGCATAAGCCTTGTGCCGATCTTTTGCCCAGGAGTGGAAGGTGCTCTCTTTTGGTGTGGCTGGAGAACGCAGACAGGTGACTGGAATGGATTCGGAAATAACTACACTCACCCTCCCTGATTAATTCTTATTTGTGTCTTTCAGGTCTGACAAAACCTTACAAGACATAGTGTACAAACTAGTCCCTGGGCTTTTCAAAGGTACAGATACAGACAGCAATAATCAAATCAAGTAATAACGGGGATGATTTGGGTGTGATGCTCTGTGTTGGCCCAACTCTGCTCCTGTTGAAGTCGATCCCCTTACATCATCGGAAGTGGGGTTAAAGGGCTTCTGAAATTGCCACCCTTACGCCCAGTGCAAACACAGAAGTTGCACCCCTTTCACTGTACCGGGTTAGTTACAGGGGTACAACCTGCTTTAGTGTGGACGCAGTTATATCGGGATAAAGGTGCTTATACTGGTGTAGCTATTTCCATAGGGGGAATAAGCTATCCCAGGCTAGGTCTACACTGGGGGGAGGGAGGGGGGATCGATTTAAGATACGCAAATTCAGCTACGCGAATAGCATAGCTGAATTCGACATATCCTATTCGACTTACCCCGCTGTGAGGACGGCGGCAAATCGACCGCTGCGGCTCCCCCGTCGACGGCGCTTACTCCTCCTGACGAGGTGGGAGTACGCGCGTCGATTCGGGGATCAATTTATCCGTCTAGATGAGACGTGATAAATCGATCCCCGAGAGATCGATTTCTACCCGCCGATCCGGGTGGGTAGTGTAGACTAGCCCCTAGTATAGGACACATTCAAACCAGTATCGCTGCATCCACATGAAGGCTTATACTGGTATGACTGTATTGGTAAAACATCACACTCCCAACTGGGCATAAAAATGGTGTAGACTAGGACTCGATCTTCTATTCTCCCTCTCTTTTTATTCTTTCTTTCTCACCGCTTCCTTGCTTTGATTGATCTTCTCTTGCAGATGAAATGAAGAGACGGCGTGACTTCTATGCAGCCTATCCCATGGCAGACGGTAAGTGTCTGCAAACAGGAATAGCCGCGCAGTGTCTCTTCCTTTCTGTTCTCTTCTCCTCTCTGTCTCGACGCTAAATACATTTTGGGAGGGGTTTAACGTCTCTCTTCCTGCTCCTTGTGTAGTTCCCAATGGGTCTAATGAGGATCGTGGGGAAGTTTCCGAACAAGACAAAGGGAACCTGACAGATGATGAAATTGTCAGCTTATCCATAGAGTTTTACGAAGGAATGAGGTAAGATTTTGTTGCTGTTGCTAAACTCCTTCTGTTCTGAGTCAAAATCCTGCCCTTTCTGGCTACCTCTAAGATCTTATTTGCGGGAACGGATCGAATCCTGAAGACTGTTCTCAGCTAGGGTGACCAGACAGCAAGTGTGAAAAAGACCGAGAACGCTTAGCTATGTGAATAACGTAGCTGAAGGCGACGTACTTAGATTGACTTACCGTGGTGTCTTCACCATAATGAGTCGACTGCTGCCGCTCCCCCATCGACTCCGCCCGCACCTCTAGCGGCGCTGGAGTACAGTCGAGACGGGAGAGCGCTCAGGGGTTGATTTATCGCGTCTAGACTAGACACGATAAATCGATCCCCGCTGGATTGATCGCTGCCCGCCAATCCAGCGGGTAGTGTAGACATACCCTTAAAAGTGGCTGTGTACAGACTAGAGAGCCTCAGGTGTGTTGTGGATGTGCAGGGGCTAATTAAGCTTATGAATGGAGGGCTCGTCATGTGACCTGAAGTCAGCCACGTGGAGCATTGTAGCTGCAATACACAAGCTAAAACAAAGCCCTGAGTAGAGCATATTGCAGTCGCAAAGCCTTTTATCCACTGGCTCTATGGCTTAGCTGGAGATGATTAGATGGTACATGCCTCTTCACCACCGCATATCCAGAGAGAAATTAACCCTTGTGTCACGACTGCCTTGGCGAGGTTAATATCCCCTCTCCGTGGTTAAGGGGGTGACTCTATTTTCTGTTACTTTTTTATAAAAATGCTCATTCTGTCCCTTCTTCCCTAGAGATGAAAAGAAAGGGACGATTGAAAACGGGGATGCGGAGAAGGAAAAAGTAAGTGCTGCCAGGTTGGGTGCGGTGCAAAGGCCTAGGGTTAGGGCCTTTGCGTTGGGGCAGATAAGAAGGAACTATTAGTTTCATGGTACGGGTGGGAAATCTGAGGGGCAGAAATCAAGGTCCACTTTTTTAAAGGGGGCCAGTGACTTTGGGTGTTTCAAATTTTGGATGCCCAACTCTTGATGGACTTTTTGCCCAGATCTTCAAAAGGTATTTAGATGCCTCCCTCCCAGTGATTTCAACCTGAGGATCTGGATTTGACTTTCAGAGGGACTGAGACCCTGTAGCTTTTATTGATTTCAACTACAATCTGGGGTGGTCTTTGCTATTCACACAACAATCAAGGAACCACACAGACACAAATTCTCCAGCCTGTATTATACAGGAGGTCAGACTAGATGCCATAATGGTCCCATCTGGCCTTAAAATCTATTCATCTAAATAATGATGTTTGCTGTATATACACCCCATGCAAGGATTAGCTATATAGACGCTGTGGTGCTTACTGGGTTCTGGCAGCTACTAAAACACTACACAGTAAGCATCACTAGAGAGCTCACAAACTATTTAAAAGGATGCCATCCTATTCCTATGCACCGCAAGCACCCTCTGGAAGGCATACCCAAGATGTCTTAAACTGGACATCCAAAAATCAGTGGCCACTTTAGGAAATTTAGGCTCCCAGTCCCACAAAGCACATCTGTAACTTTAAGGACAATTAGTTCTAATTCTTTGTTAGGCCAGGGCCTGAGTGAACCTTGCCCCAGGGCCATAAACAGCGTGCTGGATGAGGTTAGAACTCAAGACTTCCTGGCTCCCAGCTCTGTGCTTAGAGCAAATGATCTGAGATAATTTTTTTCCCTAGAGTTTGGCACTATTAATCCCGAGAATTTCAATTTGAGCTCATCTTTCTTCTGAAATATCAGTAAGGAGGAAATCAACACAGACACACGTGTAGAATATGTTTGTCTCTGTATAAATATATAAAGACACTGATAGTTCTCTGGTTATCTCATAAGGGCTTTTCTGCTTACTTTGTGCAGCCCTTGAGAGATCGAATGATCTGATTTTTAGTCTAACCAGTTAGCAAGATATTTATTTTGGTCCTTTTTAATGGGGTGTGAGTCATTTATGTCCCAGAGGCCTCCAAGTTAAAAATCAGTCGAAGGCATTTTTCTGCTGCTGCTGTTTTCTCCGTGAGGCGCTCTAGCCCCTGCTCCCCACCCTTGCCTTGCAAAACCAGAACAGTATAGATTGCAGCAGAGCCCTTTGCGTGTGACCTGCAGGTCTTTCATGCTCTGTTTGTGTACGATAGATTTACAGCTGCTCCTGTACGTATTTCATCCCCTCTCCTGTTCCAGCTGCTCAGCTCTCAGTAACGCTCTTCTCTTCCCCTCCTCCCCCTGCCTTCCCTCTGCTCTGGCCCCAGAAGAACGGTGTAAGGTTCCTCCGGTGTCCTGCTGCCATGACAGTCATGCATCTGGCTAAATTTCTCCGCAATAAGATGGATGTTCCCAGCAAGTACAAAGTGAGTAGCGAGCGACCGGCAACTGGTCCTAGGTCACTGCTTGATCTGCTGACCTCGGTCAAGGTCCCATGCAGTGCGTGCCCACTGGTGCAGCACCTGTTAGGCCGGTTGTCTTTGGACCGTCGTTTATTACATCCATGGAAGCCGTATGAGCATTTAAACGTTGTCCCTGGGGCCTGCTGGCTTTGGACCGTCCCTTCTTACACCCCTCATTCTAAATACAAACTGGGGTCCTTGCTGGGTTCAAAAACCGCATGTCCCCATTCTCCTTTCAATGTCGTTATTGTGGGCTATACTTCGCTATTAAGCTCTTTAGGCCAGACCCCTGTTTGTTACGTTTGCGCAGCACCTGGCACAACAGGATCCTGACTGAGGCACTATTGCAATACAAAGCTATATTCTATCTGATGGGCATTCTAGTAGCACCTCAGGACCCCAACCAAGATTGCAACCCACCGTTGCCTAGCACAATGGGGCCAGAGGAACAGCTGGCGTCAAGTTGCATTACTCCATTTGAAGTCAACGGCCTTGATTTGCACCGGCAGAGGCGCGGCCCCCGCCCGTTTCAGAAGAAGAGTGTATCTCAGAGAACCTCCTCCCTCCGCCTTTCCCCCCAAATAAAACCAAACGCATGCTTGACAGCCCTGCACCAGTGCTGGAAATTCCAATCTCAAAGACCTCCCCAGATTTTCCGAAGATTTATTATGTGTTTCTCTTATTGAAAACACACACTTGTTTAAAGACTTGGCAGTTGTCATAATACTACTTAGCACTTATTCACCCTGCTGTACAAACATTTGCTAATTAAGTCTTGCAGCCCTCTTTTAAATAAGCATCCGCCTCCTCATTCTGTACCCAGGGGGAAGCTAGACTTGCCCAGAGCTATTCAGCAAGCTAGCACAAGAGTTAGAACTCAGTCCACCAGACCACCCTCACCTATCCAGTCTACCTAACAGGGCCTTCTTCAGAATGATTCTGACACTGATTCCTACCAGGAGGGGACCTGACACAGGGACATTGGACCTGATTCACTGCATTTTGTATAGAGTCACTCTGATTTGGTAGCATGTTTACATTCATTTTGCTGGGCAAAGTGTGGAGCAATGGTTAATTCCACCCCCGACTGCCCAATGTTCAAAAGAAGCTTAGAGCCCACTTCGGCACCAAAGTAAGTGGCCAGATTTTCAAAAGAATGCAGCTCGGTTGGTGTTGGGCTCTTAGGAAAATCTGGTCTAAAGTGGGAATGGGGCACCCTGGAGATTATTTAGATGCCTAAATGGGAGCTGAGCTCTGTGGAAGAGGAAATCTGACCCCTTCTGTCCAACCATGGATTGGGAAAGAAGTTATTTTATTTTGTCCTTGGGACCCCTGGGTCACTGGAGGGGGAAAGATTCACTGTGGTCTGTATTTGTCAGGTGGAAGTTCTCTACGAAGATGAACCTTTAAAGGAATATTACACGCTTATGGACATCGCCTATATCTATCCTTGGAGAAGGGTGAGTAAGAAACTCCCTCTTCTGTGCTGGAAGTATCTTTGTCATTTATTGAGAAGCAGCGTGGTCCCGTGGGCAGGGCAACCGCCTGGGATCTAGGAGACATGGGTGCCAGCCCTGGCTTCGTGGGTCACTTCCCTTCTCTGTTCTGTTTCCCCTCCCACCATTTGTCCACTTGGTGTCCCATCTCCAAAGCTTAAAGTCTAGAGCAGAAGGCCTCTGAGTGACTACAGAGAATTCTTTCCCCGGCGACTGGCTGGCAGGTCTCGCCCACATGCTCAGGGTTTAACTGATCACCCTAATTGGGGTCAGGAAGAAATGTTTTCCCCTTGGCAGATTTGGCACAGACTCTGGGGGGGGGGGTTCCACCTTCCTCTGCAGCGTGGGGGCACAGGTCAGTTTTTGGTTTGAACTAGTGCAAATGGTGGATTCTCTGCAACTTGAAGTCTTTAAATCAAGATTTGAGGACGCCAGTAAGTCAGCCAGAGGTTATGGGCCTATTGCTGGAGTGGGTGGGTGAGGGTCTGTGGTCTGCAATGTGTAGGAGATCAGACTAGATGATCATGATGGTCCCTTCTGACCTTAAGTCTGAGTCTTCAGTACTGGGTTTCTCTATGTTCGTACAGCACCTAGCGTAAGGGAGCCCTGATCTCTGAAGTCCATAGATACTACTGCAAGACTCCTAATGATTAATATCAGTTAATCAATACTAATTTTCAGGCAATAACTCAGCCCCTTTTCAAATGAAATCTTTTTGTGATGAGTGGGTGTTTTTTCAGTGGTGGATAATAATAGTTAGGGGAAAGGTTTCAGAAGGAGAGGTTTATTCTTCCAAAAATATCTTGGACCTCAATTTTCTAGACATGCTGGGCACCCACTACTCCAGCTGCAGCTAATGGGAGCTGCAGGGTGCTAAGAATCTTGCCAATTCTCATGATTTGATAAAATGATTCGGCCTAAATGAGCTGTTACCGCTCAAGAAAGAGATCTTGGAGTCACTGTGGATAGGTCTCTGAAAACATCCACTCAATGTGCAGCGGCAGTCAAAAAAGCTAACGGGATGTTGGGAATCATTAAGAAAGGGATAAAAAATATGACAGAAAATATCATATTGCCTCTATATAAATCCATGGTATGCCCACATCTTGAATACTGCGTGCAGATGTGGTCGTCCCATTTCAAAAAAGACATTGGAATTGGAAAAGGTTCAGAAAAGGGCAATAAAAATGTTTAGGGGTATGGAACGACTTCCATATGAGGAGAGATTAATAAACTGGGAATTTTCAGCTTGGAAAAGACACGACTAAGGGGGGGATATGATTGAGGTCTATAAAATCATACTGGTGTGGAGAAAGTAAATAAGGAAGTGTTGTTTACTCCTTCTCATAGCACAAAAACTAGGGGTCACCTGATTAAATTAATAGGCATCAGGTCTAAAACAAACAAAAGGAAGAATTTCTTCACACGCCACAGTCAACTTGTGGAACTCTTTGCCAGAGGACGTTGTGAACTTTGTTATAGTCTTGGCCTTCAAAAAAGAACAAGATAAATTCAGGGAAGGATAGATCCATTAGTGGCTAATAGCCCAGATGGGCAGGGATGGTGTCCCTCGCCTCTGTTTGCCAAAAGCTGGGACTGGGCGACAAGGGATGGATCACTCGATGATTCCCTGTTCTGTTCATGCCCTCTGGGGCACCTGGCATTGGCCACTGTTGGAAGACAGGACACTGGGCTAGACGGACCATTGGTCTGACCCAGTCTGGCCGTTCTTATGTAGAGGGACCATTGTGAGTCTGACCTCCTCTATAACATTTGTCCATAGAACATGGTTGTGGATAAAAGCTTGAAAACGTGACCATGAAAGGCAAAAAAATCAGAAGGCAAATTAAAAAACAAACAAACAAAATCCAGTTTATAAAAATCTCATGATTTGGGGGGCTTGACTTGCGATTTTTGACACTCTCCCTCCCCCCAGTGTTGGCAATACTGTGTTCAGCAACTCTGGAAAAAAACCCAGGTCCCGACTATTACCCGCTGCCCCCACACCTGGAACGGGGGTGTTGCTGGCACTTCCGAAAGGGCATTGGAAGGAGGGAAAGTGCCAGGTTTGAAAACCGAGATCCATCCAAAACCATGTTTCCCTTGTTGACGCTTTCTCTGCTAGAGCGTTTAATTAGAACCAGGTGCTCCAAAGAGCCTTGATTCACTCTCCCAGCCCGCGGTGGGGCGCAGGGGCGAACTTTCAACAACCGCCCTCTTCCTAGCCAGACATAGCTGCCCTGCACAAATCAACTGTTGTTTGTTTGTTTTTTAAAGGGGAAAAGGGTTTAACGTTCCCCTTCTTAGTGATCATTGCAAATGAACTCCAGCAGCTCTAGATTTCCCCTTTTGTGGCTCGAGTCTTTAAAGCACTTCAGTTCCAATTCAGCAAAGCTCAGAAGGACCCAGATGAATGAGAGTTAGGCACCCAAATACCAATGAGGATCTGGGTTAAAAGTACTGTTGAAGTCAATGGGACTTCATCACATGGTTAAGCTCCTCTGTATCTAAGGTACGTATCTGGCCCATATCACTGTGATAGCTGGGGCTCACAATCTTTAATGGATTTATTCTCAGCAGCCCCGGTAGGGAAGTAGTTATTCCCCTTTTACAGATAGGGAACTGAGGCACAGATGTGCGAAGGTATTTCGGCGCCTCGCTACCACTGAATCGCCATTTGAGGATCTGGACGTAGGCACCTAAATACCTTTGTAAATCTGGCCCAGCGAGATTAAATGTCTTGCCCAAGGTCACACACAAAGTCTGTGGCAGAGCAGGGTCTTGAACCTGGGTCCTAGGTTTGCGGTCTAACATCTGGAACATCCTTTTTCTCCTAACATAGACTCATTAGACTGGCCACAGATCTAATCTAGTCCAATATCCTTTCTCTGACAGCAGTCAGTAGGGCATGCTTTAGAAGAACAAAATTCCCCTAATTGCTGGGAGTTAGCGATTGGCTTAAATCCCGATGCATTTAAGCCCTTCTTAATGTTAATATAAATTTTGGAAGAGAAACTACCTACTTATTTTATCTGTTCTTGTTATCTATATAAACATCTAGTCCTTGTTTTAATCTTGCTAAGTTTTTAACCACCATGACATCATGTGGCAATGAGTTCCGCTGTTTGGTTGTGAAAAGATTATTTCCTTTCATCACTTTTGAATTTGCCATCTTCTAATTTTATTGAATTGTTCAAGTGCTTTCCAGAATAGGAACACATTTTGAATATGTGCGCATTTCCTGAAGTGGGGGCTTAAGCACATGCTTAACTTTAAGCAAACGAGGAGTCTCATTGAACTCAATAGGTAAGCATGTGAGTCTAAGGGCTGTGCTAGACCAGTGCGTAACAGTTCACATGATAAAGCCCTGGCTCCTTGAGAGACCAGCTAGGAAATTTTAGATGGTTTTCAGTAGGATATTTTTCACATTGCCACTTGCTAGTGGGTGGGTTTTAAGATGCATCTCATTTGAATTCCTGAATCCTTCATCACTTTTTTCTGGAAGGCAGCCTGAAAATCTTTTCCAGAGACTAGCTTTTAATCTTTCATGAACATCTAAATTCTTGAGCCAACTGGCTCAGTTCCTGGAAAGACATCTCAGAACTTGAAATTTTACAGGTGTGCCTGGAAAGAGCCACTGGAAATTCATATGAAAATAAAACAAAACAATAAATCCTGTAGCCAAAGGATTGTGCACTTGCACAATGGGGCCTGAATCATCAGTGCCCTGCACCTTGTGTAGCCGTTCATACTAGTGGGTGTTGAACACCACGATTCTGGTGTAAAAGGCTACACAAAGTGCAGTCAAGGGAAACTGTGACTGTAAGATTCAATCCATTTCCCACTGAGAAACCAAATGGCAAATCTCCCATTACAGCCAGTGAAAGCATGTTGGTGCCCATAATTTAATATTTCACTCATTCTGCCCTTCACTATTATATCCAAGTACTGAGATTTTATTTGAGACAAACATTTTCAGACTCTTTCAGTCCTGTGTTTTCTCTCTAGCTTCATTCTTAGATCATAGTTTGGATATCCAGCCAGCCTGTGGGACGCAATGGATTGTGTATTATGGAGAAAGAACATAACGTCCTATAACAAACCATTTAAATGGTTAAAAGAACGAGGGGTCCTTGTGGCACCTTAGAGACTAACAAATGTATTTATTAATTTATTTGTTAGTCTCTAAGGTGCCACAAGGAATCCTCATTCTTTTTGCTGATACAGAGTAACACAACTACCACTCAGAAACCTGCCACCATTTAAATGGTTAGTTAATGAGACAATGCCACAGTCCTTTGGTAGAACTTTTTAACCCCCATCAGTATTACCTCAAAACTTTGTCAGGCAAGATATTTTGGAAAATGTTTGTCAGAACTGAGAACCTACCTGTTTGCAGATGTTTCTTAATAATACTTAGTGCTTTTAATTCCTAGCTCTCAAAGCATTTTATAGATGGATGGCAATGTTTTAAAATTACATTGTCACATAGTTTTAGGTCATGAAAGGGGAAAGTTTTAAACAGACTAATATTAATAGAAATAGTCTATGCCTGAATTAAAAACAAAACATGAAACAGATCTGGGTTAGATGTTGAACATACCCCGCTACTCTCCCGAAGCATTCTGCAACCAGAACTTGAGTTTTGTTCCAGAGCTTGAGAACTCCTAAAGTTAAACTGATAAGGAGAATTGAAACTGACCAGTCAACTTACACTGCTGAAGCAGAGTGGAATATAAGAGGGGGGGAAGGAAACACATTCATAAATGATAAAGTAAATAAAAATTCATATAGTTTTAATAATGAGGTATTATTAGCAGCACAGGTAAGGACATGCATTTGGTTTAAGTAGGATTTTTAAACTGATACATTATTTTTAAAAGGAACAGTATCTCCATTCCTCTCTTATGTATACGTCTATCTTGAGAAGACGCCAGCATGAACAATTTAGATAATACTTAAACTTCATATTTTGTTTCGATGTTTGCCATTTTGAGACTTTTACAACATAAGCTTGTGGTACAAAGTTCAGTTAATTCAGGAGAATTAAACTTAACTCGGGCGTCACAACAGCAAGGCCATAATAAAACTGGGCTTTAGACGATCATTGTATTGAATTGAGCCCTGATCTAGCAGAGTTCTTGGGACAGATTTAAGCCTGTGTTTTGTTGAATTGGGGCCCTGGTTGAGTTTTTAAACATGAAGTTAAATGCTAGGCCATAGCACGCTCTGGTGTCAAGTCAGTTTATTTACACTAAAATAACAGGAGTACTTGTGGCACCTTAGAGACTAACAAATTTATTAGAGCATAAGCTTTCGTGGGCTACAACCCACTTCTTCGGATGCATATAGAGTGAAATATATTGAGGAGATATATATACACACTTACAGAGAGCATGAACAGGTGGGAGTTGTCTTACCAACTCTGAGAGGCCAATTAGTAAGAGAAAAAAAACTTTTGAAGTGATAATCAAGATAGCCCAGTACAGACAGTTTGATAAGAAGCAAGTGTGAGAATACTTACAAGGGGAGATAGATTCAATGTTTGTAATGGCTCAGCCATTCCCAATCCCTATTTAGCCCTGAGTTGATGATTTTAGGGGCGACATTCCCAGGAACAAATGGCAGTCAGATGCATAACTCCTGTTGGCAGCTAATGGGAATTAGGCCCCTTGGCTACCCCTTTATACATTTGAATCTCTCCCCCTTTAGCTTCACTTCTGAGTCCCAAACTGCTGTCCCAGACCTGAAGAAGAGCTCGTGTGGCTCAAAAGCTTGTCTCTGTCATCAACAGAAGCTGGTCCAATAAGATATTATCCCACCCACCCTGTTTCTTTAATATCCTGAGACCGACAGCTACAGCTACCCTATGTCCAGACTAATTGGTGTAGATATCAGTGTGATTGTCTCTAAAAACACCCATGTGAACATCTTTTGTCTCCCTTCTCCCCCCTGTAGAATGGGCCTCTCCCTTTGAAATACCGAGTGCAGCCAGCTTGCAAGAGACTAAAACTGTCCCAGCCTGCAAACTCTGAATGCACCAACACCAGCGGAGCATCCGAGTGCGAATCCGTCAGCGACAAAGCCAACAGCCCAGCCACCTTGCCCGCCACCTCCTCGTCCCTGCCAAGCCCTGCCACACCTTCCCATGGGTCGCCCAGCTCCAACACCACTACGATAAGCATCCCTGCCAACCCCGGCACCATACTCAATGGCACCTCGAACTGCCACCAAATGCCACCCTCCTCCAGCAGGGGGCGCAAAATGACTGTGAATGGCAGCACAGCATCTGCCTTGACCTAGAAGGGACCCCTGGGGCATGACTTTCCATTTTATATATAAATATATATGTGTATATAGGAAAAAAAATTATACATACTTATTTTCTATTGATTGACCAGATTAATTTAAAATGCAAACAACAGACACAAAATGTGGTTGAGTATTTTTTAATGATTTTTTTTTTTGTCTTCAACTTTATGGAACTTGCATGCCATGAGCCCAAGTTTAGGTAAAAGCGGCAGCCCCTTCATTTTCTATACCTTCGGTCACCCCAGGAGCTAATGGGACTCCGTAGTAACGGATACACAGGTAATGGCAAAGCACATGGACTGAAAGTCTCAATCCTCGGTGTAAGTGCATTTGTGGTGCTGTCACTTTCTTCCAAAAGGATGAGGCTTGTCCAGGCATTTCTTAAGAGCCACATCTGATGTCATGCTTGTGTCTGCCTCCCCTACCCCCTTTCCTGACTGGTTTAGGGATGAAGAACCTAAAAGCAGATGTTGAGTGTTTTGTGCGTATGGACAGGCAGGAAGTGGGTCTTAGAGCTTTGTAAATCCTGCAGTTCTTCCACTAGCCAAACTCTCATGGACTTTAAGCCAGAAGCTTGCCTGGAGTTAGGGCCATTGGCTAAAATTTTCAGAAGTACCTAAATGATTTAGGAGCCCCAGTTCCATAGAAAGACAATGACCTATGTGATTTAGGAGCCCAAATCAATGTGGTGCTTTTGAACATGTTACCCATAGGGTGTTATGTCCAGAGCAGCCTAGGGGATTTAGACACACCTTCCATTAATTTAAAGGGAAGAGTTTGGTCTGATTCCTCCCCCACCCCCAAGAGTGCATACAGCCCCAGCGGAAGCCAGCAAGAGCTGCAGGTGTTGTGCACCTCTGAAAATCAGGTCCCATGAGTCACATTTTTCAAAAGAAGTCAGGGCCAGATTTCTGGGAACATGCTGAAGTGTGTTGTTCCCCCCCCCCCCCCCCTAAATCTCCCCCTAAATCATTCCCTAGCCTGCTTTAAATTTCTCAGCCAGAGGCTCCTTCCCTGGCTCCCTTTAGAATGACAGCTTTTCCCACTACCTTGTTGCAATGTCTTATCTGATCATTTTAATCACTGGGTAGTCTCCAAGGAGAATTTCCATCCCTCTGTAAATACATCCCTGCTCCTGTCTTCACTTCATAATGATGTTCCCCCTACATTTCTGTGCAGTGGGGCAGGAAGGGGGAGAGATCTCAGCTTTAAGGGCCACCAAAGCACATTCCATTTGGAGGTGGACTTGGCGAAGGGATCTAAAGAACCCAGGAACTGGTTTTGCAAAAGGATGTGGCTTCGTCTCCCCCATGTAAATTGTCTTCTCCTTTGCAGAGTAGCTTTCTAATGACTATTTGAGGCTTCGATCCTGCAAAGATTTAAGCATGTGCTTGACACACTCCAAGCAGTTCTATTCATTAAGCACATGCCTTAAGGGTGGAATCTTCAGGAGAATCTAGGCAATTTAAGAGCACAAGTCATTGATTCCCCCCCCCCCCCAATGGAGGCCGAGGGATCTAGCCCTTCAGGTCAACAGAAGTTGGGAACCTCTCCTGGGCTCCTTAGTCATTAAGGGCTCTTTTGAAAATCCCACTCTAAGACTTTGCAGGATGGGGGCTTCAAGTAATGAATACCACCTTCAAAACAGGTAGTGCTCACTCATTGGACCCATAGCAGCATTTCACGTAGCTTCAACATTCATGATCTTGAAATAACCCGCCTGGGTGGGAAAGGAAGAGAGTTAGGGCCCATCCCACCCAGGACACCAGCATTTCAGTCCTTCCACGGTGGTGATGGTTACCAGGAGTGTGGTTTCTTTGGTGGGGTGGCCAGAGATGATGCTAAAACGAAGAACCAATGTATTTCCCCATCAAACACTCTGCTCTCCATTTCTTCCTCCTCAATAGCTCCTTGCTTGCTAAAAAGTTTAAATTCAGCATTTCAAAGCTTCATTTTAGTTCTACCCTGTCCCACCATCTCCCCTTCATCCTCCTCATGCAGGATTAAAAAAAACAACAACAGTGCCTTTAGAAAGGTGGTTTATGTGTGAAGGGGACAGGGTAAAAAAAAAAAAATAAAGGGGGGGGGGTGTTACTGTGTTTTCTTTAAAAAGGCATGTAGCTTTATAGTATGTGGTGCTGCATTTTGCTTACATCTTGTGTTATGAAATTGTCCCCATGCAGGGGGGGGGAAGCGCACAGGTCCCCTTGCAGAGAATTCTCTTGCATCATCCGCTAAAGATTTCCTTCCAAGCCGCAGTGATACTTTTCCTTTAAGGTAGGGGTGTGAGTGTGAGTTAGAGAGCATGGGGTGGGGGAGAAGGGGAAGGGAAGGAGTGGCTGCATTCTCAGAAGCACATGTTCTCTTGGGCCTCAAGAAACTTATTCCCCTTATTTATTTATTAATTCATTCCACCATGAATGAATAAGTGCCTGCAGATCCCAGGAACAGGAAAATTCCTGCAGGGGACAGGAAAGAGTCAAGCTGCTAGAAAGGAGCTGGGGTTTTCTCTGCAGGGGCCGCAGGTAGAGTGGGGGGAGGGGGTATGGTGCAACATATTGCTAAAATCTTGTGTAATGAAATTGTCCCCATGCAGGGGGGGGGAAATCCTGAAGGCATACTGAAACCAACAGGAGTGGGGAAGGGAACTGCGTATACAGAGCCTGACTCCAAAAGGTCAGCAAACATGGATTTAAAAACAAAACACTAAAGTATTCTCCCAAAGAACTCAGAGGTGTCTTTGCTGGGAAGAGCCAGCCTGAGCAGAGAGCCCTTTGTGCAAGTCATTCGTGGTAAGGCTCTAGGAAGGTTACGGTTAAAGGACTTTCTTCCTCAGAATGCTGCATAGGGAGAGGTCTCCACCGGGAGGCATTAATCGGTGCTATGCAGTTCAGCGTAGGGTGAACTGGTTAACGCTGAATTAGGCAGGGCTTGGGACCGTAACTTCTTAAAAACCTTTGAGAACGTTATCCCCAGCAAGAATGAGGGATCTGATGGGCGAAGAAACACTTTTTTTTGGAGGTGGAGGGTGGGTGGGCGGGCCGGCCATCCGAATTTCCCATGGAAGCAGCCAAAGTGGGCAGAATGCATCTTCGGTTGGGTCATGGGGGGCAGGTGTGTGTGTGGGAAATCGGGGGCAATTTGCATGTATTGAAGATGGCTCCCTTCTGCCCTGCATTGTCTCATGGGAGGAGAAGGCACCCAGGTCGACTGCAGGGGAGAGACACATAAAGCTGCCATTGTTCTATTAGTCTTTCCCATTTCTGTTTCTTCCCCTTCTATTGGCTGGGGCTGGACTGCGAGCTCAATAGTGTTTCACGGGGCTTCAGGGGTTGAAAATATTCACTGGACTTTGGTATCCCTTCTCCTTGTACATAGGCCAAAATGGACTAAATGAGGCACTTCCACTGCCTCAATTTGGGGGTTTGGTTCCCCCCCCCAATATGGTACAAACCAAATTGCTCTGTATGTTTGCATCCTGTATGATGTTTTAATGTCCAGTAATATATTTGGATATTCATATATCGTTATTGGTTAAACATTTGTATAACTATACAGCTTTGTAAATGTAATAAATGCTGCAGATTGTCCTTCAACTTGTCTGTGTGTGCAGATCTAGCCATCAGCCTGCCTAGCCTTTCATCCTGCCTATATATGTCCATCTACCAGCCTGTCCATCAATCTGTGTATATCCATCTGCCATCCTATCCTTCCCCCATCAATCTGCTCTGTACATCAGCCTGCCTATCCTTCTACCTAGCATCCATCCAGCCTCTCTCTCGCTCATATGCAATCCATTAAGCCTAGTCTATATATAGACTTCACCCACGCATCTGGGATGCAGTGAGGTTTGACACATTCATGTTCTTTTAAGATTTAGTCACTTCAGGTGCTTAAAGTTACCCCTCGCTCCCATCCTCCCAGGTCAGTAGAAAATAGGGTGACCTGACAGCATATGTGAAAAATCAGGACAGGGGGTGGGGGTGGGGAGTAATAGGAGCCTATATAAGAAAAAGACCTGAACATCAGGACTGTCCATATAAAATCGGACCAGCTGGTCACCCTAATAGAAAAAATAATAATGCCACTCTTCCCTATCCATCCCTTCCCGAGTGTACCCCTGTTCTCCCCTTCCGCTCAGCATGTTAACAAGCGCTCCCCTTTTCTGATGGCCATTTTGACCTGGTTTATCACACCTCCTTTATTCAGCATTGCAAAGCCAGAGCTCAGTGGCTTTGTCTTAACTAGCGAAAAGGTTATTTAGGGAGGCAAGATGGGTTAGTGGTGTGGCAGAGCTCCGACCGTGTCCCTGTGGGTCCCGCGCTGCCAGGCGGTTTATGCTAGCCTCAGAGGCTCACTGCGACCCTCCACGTAGCCCTTCTCTCTCTAGGGCCAGGGTACAGTCTACTGAGCCCTGTCCATCATGTGCCAGCATGGAAGTTGGTAAGAAAACTCCCCTAGTCTCTGTTGTCCCTACAGGCTTATTCAAGAACAGTTGAGTCTCCTGTCCTGACAGGGGCCTGTCTTGTCTTCCCTTCCCAGGAGGTGTTTCTGTAGTGGTGGGTTGGGGGGAACCCAGGCCCACCCTCTACTCCGGGTTCCGGCCCAGGGACCCTAATGGCAGCAGCTGTTGGTAGCTGACCTTTCACCGCCAGAGTTGCTACATTTCCCTGGGCCACTTCCCCACAGCTCTCCCGCTTCACTCTCTCAACGCTTTCTTCACCCTAACCTTAGGGCTCCCTTTCCAGTGATTTCAGGGTGTCTTCATTGCCCAGCCCTTCAGCCGCACTTCCTCTCCCCTGGCTCTCTTTGGCCAGACTGGAGTGAGCCCTTTTATAGCATCAGAGGGGCCTTAATTAGAGTCAGGTGCTTAACAGCCTCATCTGACTCTTTGCAGGTTAATTGGAGTCAGGTGTTCTCATTAGCCTGGAGCAGCCCCTGCTCTGGTCAGTCAGGGAACAGAAAACTGCTTATCCAGTGGTCAGTATATCTGCCTTCTACTACTCTGCTGTTCCCAACTGGCCTGGGTCCACCACAGTGGCTAAAGCACTAAACTGGGACTTGAGACTGAGGGTCTATTCCTGTCGCCACTACCAGGTGACCTGGGCCACGCCATGCTATCTCCCTGTGCCTCGGTTTCCTCACCTGTAAAAAGGGGATAATGGTGGCTGATGATGCCAACGACAACTTCACGACCCTTTGTAAAATGCTTTGAGATCTACAGATGAAAAGTGCTACGCAAGAGCTAGGTATTATTACATGCTGGGCTTAGTCACCACAAGCTGGCGACACCTGGCCTAAACTTGATCACTTTTCCTTGTCTAGACAAAGCCTAAGTAGATTTAAGGGCATTTATTTATTAAATCCAAAAAGATCTGGGCTCGTCTATTTATCTGCGGCTGTCATGACCCTAGTATGTAAGGCCCAGATCCTCCAAGCCATTTCGGTACCTGCCGCCCACTGAAATCACAAAAGTGACTCTCCCAGGCAGTCTATAGCAAAGCAGAAAATGTAACCCAGATCACCAGGTTCCTCCAGTGCTTTAGCCACAAGCCCACCCTCCTCCGCTAACTTTTTTTTGGCGGGCGGGGGGGGGACCCCTCCACACATCTTTTCCCAATGAAAGATTATTTTTAAAAATCAGTTTTGTTCCCTCTGCTGCCTTCTCCCCCCGTTTGCCAGACAGTGACAAACCATAGTGTCCTCACCAATACAAGGAGCCATAAATCACTGCAGGACTGCGGGGCCAGGGGAGATCTAGTCCATTTTTTAAAGCTAGATGGCCCCGTTCCTGACACGAATGCATCTGGGAACCAACCTTCCCCAGTAAAACTGCAGCCGTGACTTCCCCTCTCTGAGCTCAAGCCGAGGGGGTTACTCACTTTCAGCTCTGGACTCTCCTTCCACCACAAGTCTCTTCGGCGAATCGCTTTGTCCTTGGG